TCTTTGCCTTAGGCAGTGGTTCTCAACCTTAGCTGCACATTAGAATCACCTGGGTATCTTTTTAAAATCCTGATTTCTGGGCCTCATCCTCTGGAAATACTGTTTCTTTGTTACTAATGTTGTGGCCTCACCCCATAACAAAGAAACTGAATTTCTGGAGGATGAGGCCCAGAAATCAGGATTTTAAAAAGATTCCCAGGTGATTCTAACGTGCGGCCAAGGTTGAGAACCACTGCCTTAGAGAATTTGAATCTCAGGAACTATAGTGAAAGAGTGCAAAAACAGAGAAACTAGAGCAGCTCCAGGAACTGGAATTATGTTATAAAAGCGTCTGTTCACAAAAGGATACAAAAAAAGAGAGCTCATCCATCCATCCGTCCATCCATCCATCCATCCATCCATCTGTCGGTCCATCCATGCAATAAGCGCTCACTGAGCAGCTACTGTGTGCTATGCAATGGGGATACATCTGTCAACAGGACAGACCAGGCCCTACTCTCACAGAGTTCTTCTTCCAGGAGTGGGCAACCAAAGCTTTAGTCCCATTTTGAAAGAATGCACTCAACTTCCCTCAACCATATGTTAGTAAGTTTTTTTTCCTAAGCATTCTGATTAAAAAGTTATTGGAAACAAAAAATATATTATACTAGTGACCTGGTGCACAGATTCCTGCACATTGAAAGGAAATTAATTAGAAGGTGGCTGGCAGGGCAGGACTGGGCGAGATGGGCCAAACACGCCCTGGAGCCAACCTCCCGTGGTCCCTTCCCAGCTGGCCACACCTGGGGTGACACCATGGCTCAAAGGGCAACTGCAGGGTGACTGGGGTCCTTTTGGCAGGTGGGGTCCCTCATCCTGATCTGTGGGGATCGGGACAAAGCCAGCTCTCCAACATCCCCCGAGGGGTCCTGGAGTGCAAGAGGGCACTCTGCAAAGTTGCTGTTGTACAGGGTGTGGAACACAAAGGCAAATGTGCAGTAAACCAGATTCAGGGTTGACAGTGCCCCAGCAACAACATAACCCATGGCCAAAGGTGGAATCGCATGGCTCTACAAGGAATCAGGCTTCCTCCTCTCTGATTTCAAGGTGTGTCACCTGAGAACCGAGAACCACGGCTGCCAAGTCACTGCAGCTCAGCAGCTCCTGTGTTGAGCATCTGCCCCTGGGTGGTCAGTGTGCATCATAGCCACTGTTCAGATGGACATGTAGCATATTAGCCTTTTATATACAGTGGGGCCTTGACTTACAAGTGTCCCTACTAATGAGCTTTTTGAGATACCAGCTGTCTCTCGGCCGATTTTTTGCATTGAGTTGATAGAGTAATTTGAGTTAACAAGCTTGGTCTCGGAACGAATTAAACTCGTAAGTCAAGGCCCTAATATATATATATATATATATGGCTAGTATAGAAAAATACCTGTTAAAATACATGGACTCAACATCTATCAGAGTGAGAAGGGACCTTAGAAATTATCCAGAATAACCCATTGATTCAATTCATTCCATAAGTGTGTGTCTGGACTAAATCCCCTCTTTAATTCTGAGCAGTGTCTTAGCCCTGTGCCATTTAGCACAGTAGCCACAACATGGCTGTTGAGCGCTTGAGCTGTGACTAATCCCTCCTGAGGTATGCTGTAAGGAACACACAGACCCCATTCTGAAGGCTCAGCACACACATACACGCACACACACACACACAAGAATACCACATATCTAATAATAATATATTGGGTCTACTAGCTAAATAAAATATATTATTAACTCAGTTTCACCTGCTTCATTGTACTCTTTGAGCATGGCTACTGGAAAGCTTGAAATTGCATGTACGTCTTGTGCTATACTGCTATTGGACATGCTGACTTAGCCACATATGTGACAGAGGACTCATTGTATCTCCAGGCAAAATCCCACGAGTAGACTTAGAAGCAGGGCTGACTGCTCTGTGTACCTGCACAACAGGAAGTGCCATCCTATTGTTTCAGAATCTCCCACAGAAGCCTCATTCCCAGTTTTTAAGGGCTATTGATTGTTCTTTCCCAAAGGATAGCATTTGAGCCCCAGCTGCCGTCATGTGATTTCTGCAATTCTTATACCACCTCCCACATACCTGTGAGACTCAGGGCAAACAATGGAAATGATTGGCTGAATGATGAGGACATGAGGTCTGGGGGAGAGGAACGATAGCTCCACTGTGCACAGAAACAGGCATCATGTTACTCAAACATATGTTTCTCATGTAGAAGATGCCTGTGGCGCCTGAAATTAATAATTTGGTTTCTTTTCTCGCAGAAAATGAAATTTCAGAATACACTCTAGAAAGTTACAAATCGAGGTCAAATCATGAAGAAACATCATCCCAGGAGAAATATGGCCAAAGTAAGTCAACCATGTGACCGGAGGTTTGAAAAATGAGGCTCATTGATTTGTTGTCCTTAAGGGGAGCGCAAAAAAAATTTGATTTTTAGGACTAGAAAGTCGACTTCCAGAATCATCTTGTAGAACTTAAGGAAGTGCATCCTGAAAAATGAGAAGTAGTTTAAAAAAAGAGAGGAAAATTGGCAGTTAAGTTCATGTAGCTGGTGACTCCAGGAGCCATTGCTGCGTCCTCCCTGACACGCATGCCTAGCTCTGGCTGCATGTCCGTCTGCGTCCAGACTGTCCTGCTACTGACAGTATGAAATTCTGCTGAAGACAATGCGTTTTCCCCATCAACACATTATTTTGTAGCAGAAATGTCTATATATTATATTTCAATTGTATCATTTTTATTTAACAAGACCTTTTAAAAGTTAGACAACAGCAATACATTCAGAGCATTTATATGCATTTGTGCATTTCAGATTCAATTTTTAAGACATTAACATCTGGACCTAAACATACCACGTGCAGTGTTTCAAATAAAGGGTGCGGTGCTGTCCAGGATAAATGCTCACCTCCCACATGTCTTTCTCCCAGCTCCCCGTCCTAAGCGCTGCATGGACTACATCACACAGCTGTGCTCAGAAGCGAAAACAAAAGGGAAGGAGCACACGCAGCAGGCAAAGTTAAAGAGAGGGCACACGCGTGTGCCAG